AAAAGAAATATTCTGTTGCATTATAGATAAACTTTTTATCTTTTTAGCATTGATGATTTTATGTTAAAAGTCATTTACAAGTGTATGAGCGAATGCTGTAAGCACAATTCGTACACCAATTTAAACAACTTATCTATGTAATTATTAACGACAACATAATATCATACGCTTTTCCTAATAAGGAAAAATGAATAATACTTAAAATTAAGAGTTTGAGATGTTGGATTTTATTTTATTTTTTTTATGTTTGATAAACTGTGATTTGTTTCTCTTCATTTCTTGTTCTCTTGTCAAAAGACCAAAAAGAAGGGAATTGAGAAAGATTGAAAAGAATGAAGCAGGTGAATGGATTTTCAACATCCACTCGATTTAACCAGAAGACACGATTGCCTTGTCAAAATTGGCAATCTTTAGTTGATGATTGGATTTGACGGAAAAGGATCTCTCTTCGGATTCTTTTTCTGGGGATTCTAGAGATTCAGTGATCGTGATCGTTTATCATATATCTTGCGGTCATAAATCATTTCAAAATTTAAAATTTAAAATTAAATACAAGTAGTACATAACGAAAACTAACCGCAAGATGTAAGATGAACGGTCACGATCACGGAATTTCTAGGATCCCTAGGAAAAAAATCCTGTGAGGATCCTTTTTCGGATTTGACAATAATAATGAAGGAGAATCGATTTGTTAACCTTTTGATGTAATAAGTGAGAGATTTTTTAGTGTGCTGAGAACATAGTTTGGTACATTAAGTGCTTATAATATAATTGGCTGAAAAAAAAAAAATTTCTTCAAGTTTTCAATCAATTGTATATGACATTTGGTATACTAAGCCATGTTCCCGGCATATTAAAAAATTTCTTGTAAAAATTCATTTGTTTATATTCTATAATACATGTATCTACAGTAACCAAGATTTATATCACAACTATGTTTATCATCATAACCTTTCATTCATAGTTTCAGCAATGTTAGTATATTATGTCACAACTATGTTTATCATCATGACCTTTCATTCATAGTTTCAGCATCATGACCTTTCATTCATAGTTTCAGCAATGTTAGTATATTATGTCACAACTATGTTTATCATCATGACCTTTCATTCATAGTTTCAGCAATGTTAGTATATTATTTCATGGAGCTAAGGTCCAGTATATAGAACAACATGTTTCTACAACTCTACCACGATTTCATAATCACATATCTTTCCGGCTAAGAAAGGAAAAAAACAACAAATTCGTTTACACATATTACAACACATAAAATATCTGTTAATGTCACATCACAAACATAAATTTCTGCAAAAGTTTAAATGCATGAATTCTGTTTTTAAAAAAAATGGAACCACGAAACTCCCTGCTATAACATCGTATTAAAAAACTATATAATAAATGAATATTTAAAAAAATAAAATAAAACTGATAGACTAGTGAATGCTACATGCTTATCGTTTTTCTAATAAATGAATATATAGAGCACAAAAATCACGTTTCTGATGTGATCATGAATATGATGAACCCACCATCACCGCCGACGACCGCCCCAGATTTACCCTAGTTAGTAGGCCAACAAATCACCGCATGCCACGTACGAGGACCGGCTGGCCTTCCAATCGTCCTGTGCAATGATTAGGTCACCGGACGGTGAGACTGTGAGAGGACCATCACCACGTCTCCAGACATATCCATCAGCTGTCGATTTTTCGGTTTTATTTTGTTATCGCTCGGAATTGGACGGCTGTTTTTATTCATAAAATAGTTCAAGTTGATTTTTGGTACGTTTGATTTTCATTTCGCTTCACGAAAAGAAATAATATTATTGGTCGATTTTGCTTGGTAGGGAGGAAAATACCCTTAAATTCATGGAATTATTAGCCGATTTTATTACTTTTTTTTTTGTTCCATCAAAAAAACAGAAAAAAAGATATCGAATGATCAATTCACCATTGAGAGGATCAACCAAAAGGCGCACCTTCAAATATCAGGATAAATAAATTATAAATGGTCATAATATCACAACTAGTTCATTATTAGATATATACATATCAAAGCCAACCCTAATACAATCTTACAAGCAACAAGGAATAAAGTACGCATTTACACCATGATTAGGTTTAAATTAATAAATGTTTTTTTATAGACAATGACTACAACACTAAGTTCGTTTAAACTATGATGAGAGTTGAGAGGTATTTAAACTTGTATGCAGATGGAAAGCAAAATAATATAACCAATTTGACTATACCAACGCCTATAGAAAAACAATGTTTTAAGTATTCTTGACTATGAACGGAAGCTTTGAGAGAGTTTCTTTTGTTTTTGTTTAATACAAGTTTGGTAGCTCCTTTTAACATTGGCAGTGCACATGTGCATGGAGAAACTCACAGGAATTTGAAGCTAACATTTTGGAGATATACAGAGAAATGCTAAGGAGACTCTCTCAAAGTGAGATTCTCTATGAACTCTTTGTCATCTCACAGTTTAACGTCAATTTTTGTGCTAAAATTATAAAACATTGTGTTAAAAACATGAGGTGACAGAACATCCATTACAAGTTTCACATTTGAAATAATCTCCTTTACATTTATCGTTGGAGATATTGAGTGATCATGGAAAATTGGGAAATATTTGCAACAGAAAAACAAAGTGCCTTGTCAAGAAAGCAAAGCAAAACGTGCTTTTTCTTTTCAGAATCATCAATGGATTCACTACTTTCTACATCCCATATACACAGAAAGTCCAAAAGGACTGCACACTTGATGCATGGTGGTGGAACATCATAACTGCATTCATTTTGATGTGCATGACTCTACGATTTGTTCCACTAATTAGTGAAACAACAATTCTTTGGACCACTTATTGCAGATTCTAGGTCGTCTTTCTTTGTGGTGGCCGAAGAATTAGAAAGAGATTTCTTGGCAGTCTCATCCTTAGACTAATATTAGACAAATTATATATCAAACATCCCTTCCAATTCTTGGGTGGCCCCATGAACCATTTGTGTGTAGTCATCGTGTGACCACAATGAGAGATAATTACGGGTGTTATAGAGACAAATCTCTGAAAGTTTAATTGTTTATCTCTCATCACGTCACTGCAACGAGAGATATAAACACTTTAGTGTTACAACCTGATAAATCCCGACCAACAAGAGTTCATTTTCATCTGTCTCTCATTGCATGAATGCAGTGAGAGGTAAACACATAAGCGTTGTATGGCCGACCTATGAAAGTATTTTCTTCAGAGAAATAAACACTATTGTGGGGGATGGCCCATGTGGCATTTGTGTGTGTCTCTCTCTCATTGGGTTACCGTGCAGAGAGAGATACACACAAGCACAATAAGGCCGTTCTATGGAAATTTCTCTCCTTAGTTCAATACTCTGATCATATAATATAACGGCATAGTCGAGAACGTGTTGGGTTCATTATCTAGATGATGACATGGGTATAGCATATGTATTCAATTCTACATAACAAGTGGATAGTACCAAACAAAAGTAAATGAGAAAAATGAAATCTTCCACAAATCCTGTGTGATGGGAAAGCCCAAATTATATATCAAACATCCCTTCCAATTCTTGGGTGGCCCCATGAACCATTTGTGTGTAGTCATCGTGTGACCACAATGAGAGATAAATACGGGAGTTATAGAGGCAATTTTTGAAAGTTTAGTTGTTTATCTCTCATCACGTCACTGCAACGAGAGATATAAACATTTCAACGTTACAACCTGATAAATCCCGACCAACAAGAGTTCATTTTCATCTGTCTCTCATTGTATGAATGCAGTGAGAGGTAAACACATAACCGTTGTATGGCCGACCTATGAAAGTATTTTCTTCAGAAAAATAAACACTATTGTGGGGGATGGTCCATGTGGCATTTGTGTGTGTGTCTCTCTCATTGGGTTACTGTGCAGAGAGAGATACACACAAGCACAATAAGGCCATCCTGTGGAAGTTTCTCATCTTAGTTCAATACTCTGATCATATAATACAACGGCATAGTTGAGAACGTGTTGGGTCCATTATCTAGATGATGACATGGGTATAGCATATGTATTCAATTCTACATAACAAGTCGATCATACCAAACAAAAGTAAATGAGAAAAATGAAATCTTCCACAAATCTTGTGTGATGGGAAAGCCAAGACCTTGGTTCTAAACTGAAGGGCAAAAGACAAAGCCAAAAAGGAAATGTAGCGAACAGGAAGAACATGAGCCACATGCCCGCCACCGCCACAATTCTCAAAGCAGACAGGAGAGAAAAGACACCACATTCATAAATAGTCCAGGGAGAATGTATGCCACAACTAACCGTGGCCAGAAACCCTTGTAGCACCACATGCGACTCACAATCACAAACAAACAACACACAAAAAAGGAAGCTCGTATTTCAAACATATACCGACATGCATACAAAATCTACAGGCCTATATAAGAATCCTCACAATTGTCGGCAGCTTCGTTAATCAAAATTTTTTTAGGATACTTCAGAGTATGAAATATTCTGAATGTTTTGGTGTTTTTAAAAAAAAATTTAACTATTAAATCCGCCTTCATTATAGACGTTAAGATGTTCCATAGAGGTTTTATTGGAGTTTAATTTTCATATATAAGAATCAGAGTATCTGAGTTTGATTCGTATAACAACGTTGCTGTAGTGGTGCGAGTTACGGTTACGAGAGTAATATTCTATAAGAATCAATCTCATGCAGGCCATATATCACACAAAACTAAACAATAGAACTCACCCATACTAAACTAAAATTTTTCGGCATAATAGTCCCAGTTGGGTTCCAGTTTAATAGAAATCAAACTCAAAATCTCCGACCTACTAGTAGCCATTTTTTCTATGTAGTTCAGGGCATTATAAAATGTCAAAGCAAGCATTCTCCCGTTAGAAAATCTTGAACTACGAGTTGAAAAACGTAATTAAGAGACCAGAATTCACAAATGAATATTTGTAGAGGACAAGGCGTAAGAGCAATATATCACAATGACGAACACAGATCACGTTGCTGTAGAATCTACCGTTGTCGTTCATTATATCCGTCTCGGAGTTTACAAACCGATCATCGACTCAAAATGCAGATACTTTGCCATGTATGGGTTTCTAAACAGGATATACACAACCCCACAACTGAAAATCTAACACCAACGATGTACATCTGACATGAGGGGCAACTCTCCAGTATTTGCGAATGCAAACGAACCGGGGATATTAACCCAGCTATGCAAACTTGAACCGCTTTACAAGAAGCAAGTTACATTGGAGAACGGAAACCAGCATCAATTGCTTGCAAGACTGGAGTGACGTCAAACCTGAAGTTTCTGAAACTCTTGCCTGCTTCTGTGTCTGGAGGATGAACTTCGGGTTCAGGTTTAGTTGGTTGGCTCTCCACTATCATGGTGCTACTCCCTATCGAGCTGCTTTTTGCATTCCACACGCTGATTCCTAAGAAGGATGAAAAACAAAGCTCATCAGAGAAGTGGAAAAGAAATTTCAGTACACGTGGGTTTTTACAAGGATCAATGACAACTCAACATTAGCGTGAGTGCTCAAGTTCGATTAAACTTGTATACTACAATATGCCAGCACTACTGTAACCTGGGTATGAAAACCGACGTCTGGTGGAAAATTAAGTATGTTCATATGCTTTGATTTCTCCAAGTTTGTAAGATTCATCTTTCATTTTCCTTTTCCTTTATCCCACAAGTTTAACATAAACCTGAAGCTTATAGGCTACCGAAAGATTTCAAAGGAAGGGGAAGAACCTTTGAGAGGCATATCAGGTCTTGGAGCAACCGGGGACTCATGTGATAAAATCCATGATTTCATTGTTCTGTTAGAAAACATCGATCCTATTAGACATAGCAAAAAGTTGGAACGGTTGAGAAAGTAATTAAAGTTATGAATCAAAATAACTTACGCCAGAAAAGGTGACACCATGTAAAGCTTGAGGCCGGTGATGCCACGAGATATCACATCATCACTTGCAGGCTGAAGATCATCCAGCCGGTGCCATGCAATTTCCTGCAAACAAATACAAACGGTGTGCGCTTAGCCAATGATATTGTGCAGGAAAAGAGGGGCATATATTCTATGAAGCGATAATGAACACATTAAATAAACTATAGAGGTCACACAACCAAGAAAATAAAAACCCACAAATTTAGTACTCAATAAAGAGATAACTCTGCAACCTTACCAAAGTGTAACCTACAATGAAAACTACAAGTAGTGTTCCTTCAGAATAATTTTCACTAAGAAATTTAAAACTCCGTGAAAACATAAATGATGAAAAAAACGTGGATGCATTAAGAATCACATACACTGATCTCCTTTTTGGTGAGTGGTGCAAAGGCAGTATCCTCCCTCACACCAGCAATAATGTACAGCCGCACCCTTTGCTGTCCAAATATAACTTCAATATACTCGTCTTTGTCAAGAAGATTTGTAACATCAAAACCTGTTTCTTCCAGGACCTGCATTCACCACAAAGAACCAGGTCATTTATAACATATGGAGGTTCACAAGAACTGTCTAGATTGTGCGTGCCTTCAGAGAGAAAAAATGACACCTACTGGTGTTAAGTTTCATACAATAAATTTCCTAGTAACATATGCAATTTCCATTGGATGAAGCCATAAAACCAGACTATTCTCCTAACTCTATCACAATGACAAGGTCCAAAAACATCCTCAGTCTCCTACATGTCAGAGAGTCAGGAAAAAGTTGAGTTCTGAAATGTTTCCTTCCATACACACCCCTAATGTGTCACAAAAATATAGGGCAATAACATTGTTATGGAATGGATATGAATCGTAAAATCATAGCGCCTGTAGTTTATCTTGTCTGCTCAGCAGCAAATCTTATTACCTTAAGAAGATGAATATACATGCATCACGGAAATAAAATGTCAGATTGAATATTAGTTGTGCACACACCACCCACCCTCTGCCCTCACGACACATCCACCCGCAGAGAGAAACATAGAGATTTAATTTTTTACAAATTGTCAATTTCACTGGTTCAAGGCTGTGAAACCTTGCTGTAGATATCCAGGGAAAAAATCGATCTGGATTAAAAAAGAAACTGCCATATGGAAAAATCTTACTTCTCTGATGGCACATGCATGGTCTTCTTCATCTTTGTTCTTTTTGCCACGAGGGAAACTCCAGCTTGATCCTTTCCATCCCTTCACGAGTAAGCACTGCAGTTGGCCAAATGTAAATTAGTACAACAGAAACAATCGCACTGCTTTAAGAAAGCTCTCATATTTGACCAATAACTTCACCTCATACAGAAGGTTGTGTACAGAAATAACAAAAACTTATGATATCGACCAGTCATCAAGTTTAAAGATACCAAATGGTTTACAACATTAGAAAAATAGCTTTTAAAAAGTCGTTCACGTTCAAAAAGGGTTGAACTTGGGAGGTTCTAGAATCATTCACAGAAATCCTCACCCTTTCAAAGGTTTCATCCAAAATGATTGCGCCAGTTACAGGAACCTTGACCTTGTAAGAAGTGAAGTCCTTAAATATGTCATCTATATGGGCAACATAAGGTTTTAGAACATCACAGCTGTTAAACACTGCAAAACATTAAGGAAAATAAGGCTGCACTAATAATGGGAGGAAATTATAGATGGACTAACAAAAAGATAAAAATGGAGCAAGGGTATGATAAATTGGAACAGACAAACCATATGTGGTACACAAAAGGTCCATAGGAATCTAAGAGAAGTATACAAGTGATACAAGAAATTCAGGCATACAATGTTTTTGGTTTTGGTGGGGTTGATACACATCAACATGGCATAGCTAAGAACTTCAAGCTTTGCCAACCATAGTGTCAGCAATGCTTTCAGACGGAAATTGTCAAACTCTCCATATGTGCAGGAGCTGCAATAACCAATTTGGGCTATGCCATGCATGCGGAAACAATACAATGATGCTACAGGAAAGCAGGTATTAAGCTAGATATTGCCGGTACAGGAGAGAGGGCGTGTGGGGACAGATATTTGTATGTTGACTTCACCACGGTGTATAAGAAACAGAAAGGAAAATTTGAGTCATTGACTGCAAAGGATACATAAAGAAGTGAACTCCTTCAAACTAAATGACTTCAGTGATGGATTTTTCTCCACTGAGTTGTCCTCATAAAACCAATGAGCATACTCCACGAGAAATAAAAGCCTCTCAAATGATTGCAGGTCTTCTTTTGGCACATTTAGAACAAACCGACTGCCAGTAAATGGTAAAAGAAAAGATTCAGATGCATATCTAAACAAGTTAGAATAACATAGACAAACCATAAGCAGAAGGAGGGAGAAAGGAAGACCAGACCAATTGGCAATTTGAATCTTGTTTTAATGAAATCAAACTGGGATGCATAAAAGGAAAAGCTTTGTAGAGAGAAAATTGCACAATTCATCAACCTTCCAAGTTCAGTACATAATCGTTTGTTGTACCTAGGACTCGTCACTAAAAAGCAAGAGGAGAACAATACTAAATCTGAAAAGAGTGTGTCTTTACGGACCTGCATAGATCATCAAGGAGTTCTTGGGGGGGGAGGCTGTTCTTCAGTAAAGCACTCGATGACCAAGGGAGGCCAGACATGGCTTCCCTTTTGCTTCTTGCTTTGTTTCCTGATATATTTAAAAGCAAAACAAATGTAAATGTGGGTAATTTAGGATATGCTCCAAAGTTCAAAATCTGCAACCTAGCTAAGCAAAGTAAAATGAAACTAAATACGAAAAGTCTTTAGTTCCATAATATTCGTTGACGCACATCTTTTAAATCCTCAGCATTTAAGGCTACACTGCAGACGTTGCAGCTACGATGATGGGCTTTCTTCATCTTTTAGATTTTTTGAAAAACAATGCACTAACACCATAAAACACACAAACTTACACTCAAAAGCTCTAGAAATATCCCCTCATGAATTTAATGAAAATACTCGAACTTACTTTTTTCTTCTGTTTAATCAATTCAGCTTGATTCCACATTACTACAACCATTTCCCCTCTCAATTACTTTCTTTTCTTCCTTTTGTCAAACAATTACAGCCCAAAAGCACAATTTATAACATTTGTGACAATTTTTGAAATGAAATAACAACATATGTATCGCATATATATACCAATGAGGCTAAAATACCCAGAGAGCCATAGATTTCAGTACAATCAGTCGCTTCTAACTCTGAGCAAGCCAAGCTGACTGAATTCAACAACAACCATGATTCAATGGATTATCTTTACCACCAAATCTAATACAACAATCCTAAGAAATTACTACAGCATCCATCCCAGTGCTTTCAAACGTCGTAGTTTGAAGCGGCCGAGATCTCGCGCCAGTAAATGACCCAACAAATTACAGAGAGAGAAAGAGAGAGAGAGAGAGAGAGAGAAGATACCTTGGTGTTGAATATTGAGTTTCGTCGAGGGAGTTGTGGATAGAGACTACAGTTGCTGAGTTTATTGGAGGGGCTTTGCGAAGAAGAAGGTGGGATTTTGCGGAGGGGGAGGACTCAGATCACTCAGCGCCTGTGCGACTGCCGAGTGGTGGAAGCCTATTAAAACTACACTTTATTTATGCCCCCAATTTGTTTTCTTTTCCTCAATATTTCAATATTTTCTCATACGATATGGGCTCCAAAATCACTCAAAAAATCTTTTTTAAGCTTTGACACATTGACTGCATCTTTAGTATGACTGCATCTTTTTTGTAGACATTTTTCGCAATTTCACAATTTTTAGATGATTTGAAGTGAGGGCTGTATGGACCAAAACTCGACACGATATAGTTGCGTTAACTCTATTAAGATGACAAAAATGGGATTTTTTGACAAAGATTAACTATGATAGTACATTGACGCTATAAATATAGTGTAAGTGATAAAAAGAATGAACAAAAAAAATGCTACAACGAAATCAGATTATTGGTGAAGACTAATGAGAATGAAGCTTTACTAATTCAGTTAACTGCTAAACAAACTAATTACTGTGCTTAATCCAAGCAACTGTTAACCAAGCGAGCATGAAAACTAACACAGCCATGATTCTTAATACAACTTATTTATTTGTATGGCTTTATAGGTTAACGTTAATAATTAAATACTTAACAAAATCCTGCAGAGCAATAGCCCATGGTCAGTTTGTGTAAACAATATTTTGTAGCTATTTGCACATTCAGCAAGCTAACGTCCTCCATTTTCATTTTCCTCGTTGTGAGCTCTCCATGCCAACTTTCAAAAGTGAATCCTTTTGTTATTTCTGCAGACATTTGGAAAATAACTGTTTACTACCTTGCCTTGTATTTGCTTGCTGGAACTCGGGTGGCAATAACACTTCTCCATAAAATTAATTGGCAATATGGGAAGTAGTCAAACTTACTTATAAGCCCATGCAAAGTCTCTCATCCAATCAATGTGGGACTCATTCTCAACATGCCCCCTTACATGTAGCAAATTTTTAAGCCTAACACGTGGACAACACAACAGGGTGACGTGGAGCGCTTGGCCGTTTGGCTTCACGCGTGGGACAACCTGCTTTGATACAATGAAGAAAATTGAGGTTCCACCATAAAAACCAATTGGCAATATGAGGAGTGGCCCAACTTACTTATAAGCCCATGCAATGTCTTCTCTCATTAATGTGAGGCTCATTCTCAACAATGAGTAGCCAGCGAATGTTATAGTTGCTGTTTTTGCTGCTGTTGTTTTGTGCCTGACTTTGGTGTATCTCCTTTCGTATATTCATCTTCCAGGTTATTGTTCATCTCAAAGCAGTTGGATTTTTACGGTGTTGTTGCGTTCTCGAGTGAATGGTGCCATATATATCGTATTAATTTTTACGGAGAGAACTTCACTACCTTCTTTTATATTTAATTTTAAACTAACTTGGATGATTCGTCACTTTCTCTCTAGGTGCCAAGAGAGTGATTGTCCTTTCAACGTGCGTGCTGTTTGACCTCTCATCAATTGCTGTTGTATTTTTTGGTATGGTTCCACCATTTACCACAGACACATCCAGAGCTGTAAATGTAAGTTTCTGTTAGCAGTGCACCAACCTCCTGGAGTGTCCTTACCTCTTACTTCCTAATTTTGTACGTCGTATACCACTAATATTAGTTCCAAATATCAGTTCAGTTATGGCACCGACAAGGTTCGATATTGCACTCTTCTGGTCACAGAACTCTCTACCCAGATGGCTCACGAGGTTGAATGGAAGAGGGACGAGCACACTCCCCTTCTAAAGTTAAGAACTGAGATGGGCATATTGACTCCTAAGTCGAAAGAGTTCTTTCAAAGCTTTCTCCTTGGGGCTCGCTGTTTGGCAAGTTCATGTCCCCCACGCCCTTGCATTTTTGAGCAGTCTTCCTGCTAATTTTTAGGTGCTTCGAATGTAATTTATACGTTTTGCTTGCAATTACATAGGAACTTTCAGATTGAAGAAAATAAAATGAATCATGTATAAGCAGACACAAATTAATCGGATATATGAGTTTCAATATAGCATTACCGTCATCATTTTCAAGTGTAATTAAGCATGCAATTTTGTATTGAAGACATCATCAAATGACATTGCGCTTATAGTGATATGTTGTTCTACCCGAAACCTTAAAGTCGAGTTCAAATTATAAATTCTATATGCATGATACTAGTCTTTTATTAGAGAACAGAAATTCATCCATACACATTACCAAGGACAGAAACTCCGTTCCATAGCCATACTATTGTCCAACAGCCATTAAAACCTTTGGCTTCTCTACAGACATCATTTGTTCACATACAAGATTTGCATGTGAAGGTTTAAACGACATACCTTCACCGTTTACAACTTTACATGCTTAACTTACACCACAAAAACATGGGTTTTATCCATTACCCCAACGAGGTAAAAGAATGGGGGTTTTACTTTTACCCGAAGTGAAATGGAAGAAACAGAGATACACACGTGTGGAAGGAAAAGTTAGGGGTGATATTCTCCTTGAGTTCAACATTTTAAACTCAAAAACAATTTTTGAGTTTTGAGTCTAAAAAACTTGTTTGGTGTGATTATTTTTAAAAACTGAACTCAAGATTAACTAAAAAAATATAGTATATTCTTTAAAAACATAAAAAATGAGTTTTTAAATTTACACTCACTTATTTTTTTTTTCTCTCTCCCTCCTCCCCTCTCATTCCAAATCTATCTCTCTCCTTTCTTTTTACATTTTTGTCTCTCCTCCAGTCTGCTCTTTTCATTCTCTCAATTCTTTCCCTCACTCTTCTTCCTCTCTATCTCGTCTGACACTCTCTCGTTACTTCAATTATCTCTTACTTTCTTTCCTCCTCTTCTGCGACCCTATCTTTTTAGATCTCTTTGTTTAGTTTAAGTTGTAAGATTTAAAAATTTTAAATCACAAACCAATCAAGTTTTATAATCTAAAAAAAAATTATTTTCAAAAAATATTCTTAAAAAATATTTTGAAAAATGAAAAAAAAATTTAAATAGGATGCCAAACAGGCCTGACGTAACACAGTTAATTTTGGCGTGAAACAGTGGCTTCCTCATCAGATCAAAACACAGTGGCTTCCCTCATCATGTGACATAGCTGAAACGAACCCCCAAAAAGAAAGAACCTGAATCCGATATAGAGAGAGAGGGGGAGGAGAGAGAGACAGGGTCCAAGAAATGCGGACGATACCGTTGGGAATATCAGCAGCATCCCCAACTTCCTTAAACAGCTCCTTCCTCAACACTCTCAACCTCAACAGACCAAACCCTCTTGTTCCTCTTACTAATCCCACTTCTTCCAGGGTTCCTGTTCCTGCCTCCACCTCCACTGATGACTTCCCTTTCCTTAACTTCTCCAAATCTGGTGGGTAATCCAAAAGCTTCTGTCTTTTTACTTGTTTTACTTCAATTCCTTAATTTCCATGTCAGAAGGTTTTTGGGTATTTTGTAAAATTTAGTTTTGTGTTGACTCCTCAACTGGGGTATGAATAAGCAAGCTTAATTTTTCATTTCCCTTTAGTTTTTCTGATTTGTTTTGGCAATCAACGGACGTTTTCCGTTTTGGGACTGGTTTTATCGGAAGCACTTCGTTCATAATCGTTCTTGCTAGAAGCGCTTTAATTAGAAGCACGTTCGTGTTTTTATTAAAAACTGCTTTTCTAGGAAGCACCTGCTCTGATCTATAAACACTTTAAGTGTCGATCGTCAAACATGATTAGAAGTGCTTTTGTTTGTCTGAGGCAGCTGAGTGATTATCTGTTTTATACTCAAAAGTCATACGGGAAATTTGGGTTTGTGAGATTCTATTTGGATGATTTTTTTGGTTATTGGGTGTAGGAGTTTGCAGAGCCAGTCAAGTGGCTGATTTATTTCCCACGGTGTCTCCCCAGATTGTGGTCCGGGAGGCACGGTTGGAGGATTGTTGGGAGGTGGCTGAGACTCACTGCAGCTCTTTCTTCCCCGAGTATTCTTTTCCCTTGGACTTTGTTTTGAGGATTGACCGGCTGGTGGGGATGCTGGCCGGATTTTCTCTGCCGAATGGTTGTAAGAGAACTTGTCTGGTTGCTGTGATTGGTAATGCTTGTTATGAAACGTTCCTCTTCAGGAGTGATGATTTCAAGGTCGGCGGTTTTGATGGGAAGTTCAGTCTCAGTAGGAGGTATGTGGCTGGAATATTGACTGTGGATACCGTTGCTGATTTTCTTCCGAGAAAAGGACCTCTTCGTCAGAGAAGGTAAGTTCATAATTAGAATCTTTCTTTGACTGTTAGGCCCTGAGCAGCTTATAGTTTACTAGTCGAGTTGAATTTCGATGAAACTTATTTGTTAGCCATTATAGAGTTGAAGTAAATCAGTACTGTCGTCTATGAAAAACCGGTCTTTTTTGTGCAACATCATATGAACTGTTTATCATCTTGTTACGGAGAAAGGTTTTTATTGTATATCAGAAGCTTTTTTCATGACACAGCTATCAGATTAACAGGAGATAAGAGGATCGATTTGTTAATTTCTTCACTGATTAGTGTGGAACCACAATTAGCTTTTCTGGTCCGCTTTATCAGCGCACAAAAAACCATTATCTTTGCAATTGTTTGGTTTCGCCCCTACTTCTTTTTATCTCCGACATCATTCCCCTTGGCCTGTCTATAGAGAACCTCATCCAAACCAATTACGTGGGTTTTTCACAGGCCCTTTCCCAGCCTCAACGCCCACCCTCATTTCCTTCCCTAGCCCTTTTCCGTGTCTGTTCTGAATTTCTCTTCATCGCATCAGCTGTTGCAGCTCAAATATTCATCTCTTGTGCATGTGCAAATGATGTGTTCTCATCTGTCACAAATGTAGTTTCTGATACATAGGCGAAAAGAAATTCTTAGATTCATATCGCACATTAGAAATGATATGGTGTTGGCTAGTACCAACCGTAGACCAACTATGGATATTCAGTTTCTTGTAATCGATGAGAGTTCAACTCTCCGAACCCTTAAATCCAGTGACTTCAGATGTTCATTCCAAAATGTGGCAAGATATATAGTTCATCTGGTATACATTCTTATTTACCCATGTGCATGGATTTATGGTTCATCTGGTATACA